TTCTTTTTGTTTTGTTTGCTTAATTTCTTTTATACATCGTTCTAGCTTTATTATAGTATTTGAATAGAACATGTGGCAACGATTAAATAATTCTTTAAATGATATAAATTTTGTGCATTCAGAGTTATAATATGAACGAAATATAATACTGTTAAGTAAACCTAGCGCCAGAGTGTCGCTATGGTAAACAAAGTTAATTTTAAAGAATGCATTTATTCTATTGTGGTTTATGCGCTGTCGGCGAAGTAGGTTTAATTCAATCCAATAAGTTTAAATAAAATGCAAGAAAAAATGCGTATAATTTAATATTCTGTACAAGGAAGTCATGTGGTGTACACATCAGATTTTTTCTAATGAAGAACTCTTAAACAACTTTTCACTTTTGGGAAGAATTCTTTTATTAAATGGTTCTAAACTTGCTGACTTATCAACATTTTGGCAATTTTAATTTTGGTTTCTATAGAAAAATTTTAATTCTGAGACTGGGGATTTTTCGACGATTTTTTTAAAACATTGTAGCAGTGATAAACTTCATTAAAATAAGGTAATATTTGCATTTTTAAAAAAAATAACATTAAAATAAAACATTTTTTTTTTCGCTGTCATATAAATTTCATTTTGGCCACTATTATACAAATTTTGAATCTGAAAAATAAACAAAGTATAATGCTATAAAGCACAATTTATGAAACAGTTCTAGCAAAAGCAAAATAGCTATGTAATTAATTAGAAATGTCCTGTTAATTTTTTCATGGTAAGAGTTTTTCCTATGTAATTGTCTCAGAATATTCAGAATTCTCAGACATATGCATCAGTTTTCTCTATAAAATTAATTGCACTCTTTTTCCGCCGGATATTTCTTTTTCAAAATATTTCCGGCTTTTTGCTGTTACAGAATTGGTATCAGTAAGTTTCCTTTAGGATTTTAGACATTGCAGCTTAAAAGGTTTAGAAGGATTTGAAGGCAAGATTAATAGACCCACGATTCTAGAAGATTCCAGAAAAATGTAACAAAATAAAAAAAAATGTCTTCATGGTATTAACACATAATGGATGTATTTTGCAGAAAAGTTTGCGATGAATTTCTTATTTTTTGTAGAATGTCTGGAAGAACAATGAAAACATAATATTTGAATGTTTTACTTCTGATACTAAAATCTTTTTCTTAACATTTGTATCTTCCCTTTATTTTCTCTACTTTTCACTAGACACAAGCACAGAAAATATAAAAAAAGCTACTAATCTATCACATGGGATAGGCATTATAGAAAAGAATTTTTTTATTAATAAATATTGATAATTTAAAAGATTCATCTAATATGTCTTCATACATCATACACTGGACTGGCACTAGACATTTTCTCACCTGATGCAATTTCTGTGGATCCTAAATTCTGCTGCCTAGTGCCTTTCTAATTTCTGCTTCCAATGTCTCCTCTAAATTCTAAAAATTCTGCCACACTGGCTCTGTAACCGGCCCTTACCATATATATTTCATATTTCTTTTGAATTTTCATATTACTAAAGAAATAAAATTAGCAGCTTTTTATATACATTCTAAATACATTTTTTTTTAGAGTAGCAGAAATCTTTAATTAAATCCAAAAATTCTAAAATGAAAAGGAAATGTGTTGAAGAAAGAAACTGATTACATAAAGAGAAAGAAAATTACTCTTCAAAGATATGTACAGTTATTATTATGTAAATTACCCAGTTGTTTGTAATTTCAGCTTTTACTATAATTTCTCATTTCTATTTTCTCACCAGAATGCAAGTCACTTAGTCAGTTTTTAAACTGAGGTTTTTGGAGTTTAAGACAGAGTGTGTTTCTGATCTCCATTTGCTCGCTGCGTTAGTCCCTGCCAGCTCTCATAATTTGTAATTATTCGTCTGTACATTATTGCTGCTGAATTTTAATTTGCTTTGACAATAGAGTTACTGAGCCAGCTTTAATTAATATTAAATAGTCTTTGACCACTGGCCCACATTTTTAACATCCTACATCAGGCCTTTCAGGCTTGTTCTGATCAGCAGGTTTCTCTCTAGGCAAGCAGCAGCGGTGAGCCAGTCTCTTGTTATGAATCATGCTGATTATCATTTTACTTCTCATTTCGTCATGCTGCTTGACATAAAATCTACCTGCTATTTACTAAATCTCTAGACTGAGCAAGTATATGACAAAATGAGATATTAAAAGAAATATCAACATAAAGCTAACTCTTAGTAAAACATATATAAAATGTCACTTATCTTCTTTCAAATATGTCTGACTATTTATTATAAGTGTAACATATTAATTGCTACTTCATAAATTTCATAAATTTTATTTTATTCACAAACTTTTTAATAAATATGTTAATTAAGTTATGTTCAATAATAATGCATCCTACTTACGGATCTATTTATTTTTAGGTTGGTATTACAAAACTGAAATTCAGGCATAGATAATATTTTTAATTAAATTTATTCAGTTCCCATTTGCTCATAGGTCCTTAGTTATTTTCGTTAATGGTCCTTAAAAGTTCTTAAAAGTGCTTAATTTTTGTATGCAGAAATGTGTAAGAACCCTGTATTAAACATTTGCAAAAATATAATTTTGTCCTAGAATATTAGAGATTCAGTTTAGTATGAACTTTTCTTTTCAATGGATTTACCTAGCCGTTGTCACAATTTATCAGTGCATTTTGTTTATATTTTGATCAGGTGTGAATAAGCATTTCATATTTTGGACAAGTTTTCTGTCGGGGGAAAAAAATCTCCAAAATAAAAATAACTTACAACATATGCTGAACAAAAATTAAGTTTTAAATAAAATCACTGCTGATAATTTCAATGAGCCAACCTAGAATACTGCTATGAAAGTACGAAAGATAACACATGAAATATTCTTCTAAAAAGTACAATGAGAATTTTTAATTCCTTGTACGAAGTAAAGAACGTATTATAATAGCAAAAAATTTAGGGTATCATATTTCAATGAAAATATTTATTTTGACCTCTCTCTAATCCATTTGTATGATTTTTTTCCTTTTGTGTATGTGATATCTGTATGTACAAACAAAATAAAAAAATTCCTCTTTTTTTTTTTTTTTTTTTTTTCCAAAATGGATTTAAAATGCATTCAGGAGAGATTTTTTTTTGTGATGTGGGTACGTACATACGTATGTATGTATCTCGCATAACTCAAAAATGAGTAGCCTCAAAACGTTTAAATTTTGTATATGGGACTGCTATAACATGTAGTTCTGCACCTCCCTTTTTGTTTGCTATCGGCTGCATCAGAAACGCATAATGAGTACTTGTATCGCCAAGCTGAGCACTTGTATCCCCAAGCCGACCCACTCTGTTACCCAGCTCGGTGAGATCAGTTTTTTTTATTCTTATATGTTTGTAAATTGGGCATTTTTTGCTTTAAAATGGACTGAGTTAAGTTGTTCTTATATTCCGTTTAATGTTTTTATGACTTAAGTTAATCTGCGGGCAATACTTGTAGAATTATCAACATTAATAAGTTATAAGTTGTTTAAGTGCTACTAAGCCTAATGAAGCCGTTATTTGTTTACGTTTTAAACTCTTGCTTTGTTTGTGGATGTTTTGTGTTTTTATGTATTTTTGCCTCGTTGCAAAGTGAGAACTGAATTGATAGAATGATAAATATATCTGAAATGAAATTTGAGGAAATAAGTTTAAATGAAGTGCAGCAAAAAATGTGTGTAATTTAAAGGACATGTGAAGAAGTCATGTATGTCCACATGAGATTTTCTATAGAGACTGTTACTGTACTTCACTGATTGTAAATTTAGAAATGGTTGTTTAATGCTTATAATATGTTTTATAAAGAATGTGCATGATAGACAATGTACTATTTCTAGATTGGCTGTTATATAAAATACTTAATGTGTATGTTATTTGTTACTTTAAATTTTATAAAATTATTTTACAGAAACCCCTAGCAGGCCAGATCATCAGTGCTTGCGAGCCAGATTCGGCCCTCGGGCCGTAGTTTGGAGACCACTATTTTAGAGACTTCCAAAATTTTCAGTGCAACTTAAAGTATTTTCAGAAATTACATTTACTTAAAACATTTTCATTTTTTAGGGGATGTTTGATTTTGATAGGATGGGGGTGTTATAGTTCTATGCTGGTTTTACAGTTTTCGATATTGCGTATTTGGATATCTCAATGATGGTGGCTGAACAATTAAATTTAAAACAGGCTGCATATTTCAGAGAGCTCTTTTTTTCCTTCTGAGTCGACTGCCTTCATTTTCCACGATACTCTCCACTGAGACTTGCAAAGAAATTTTTTGAAAATGATCAAATAAACTCAGAAATTAAACTTTAATTTTTAAAAATAGCTAACTGGTAAATAACTCTTAAAAGCAAATAACACCTCTAATCAAAGCTACTAATGTTAGTGGATAGCTAAAATTTAAAATATGATTTTGATTAATGAATTTGACTACACAACATACATATTGTATGTATCAAGTATTCTTTGTCAACCTATTTTTCCTTCCAGATTCTTAGAAGGAAATGTGAAACAAAGCCTGTGATGAATCTGAAAATATAAAGTATTTTCTTCCTCTTTACCACATGCTTTTGTGGTGTAATTGGAAGGACATCTGGATGGAAGTTAGTAGGTCCAGAGTTCTGTTTGGATTCTATTGTAGAGAACATTAGGCATTTTATTTCAAAGTAGGAAACATGATAAATGTGCAGTGCCTCGCGAACATTGAAACTCAAAACTTCTTGATTTTCAGCAAGACATGTACCCAATTACATCATGAAAACGTGAAGTAAGGAGGGAAACAATACCTTCCAACATGATATACATATTTGATGTAAAGTGTAAATTAATCTGATGTTTTGGGGGGTAAGAGGGAAGAGTAAAGTGCTTCATTTTGGTGGTTTCTTGATTCTTGGATCCAATATGATGTGCTGTCTTCTGATTTTGAAAAGTTGTTTAATTTAATGCATTATTTTATTTTCCTTCCTTAGGAATTGAAGGTGCATTCAATGGACCAGGAGCTAAGACTGTGATTCCAGGAAAAGTCACAGGAAAGTTCTCAATTCGTATTGTACCTAATCAGGAACCTGAAAAAATTGAGAAATTAATTATTGATCATTTAAATAAAGTTCATGAAACTAGAGGCTCACCTAATAAATTACAGTAAGCAGATTCAGTTTTTATTATATATGTACAATATTTTAAATTATAATTAGTATTTAATTTATAAATAGTATATATTTCATATTAATTTGTTATAATTTATATTACATGCATGTGACTCTGTAATGCTTCATCTTCTGCATCAGTTCCTGTATTCATTGTATTTTGTTTTTGTAAGGATTGTGTTAATTTATCTAACAGTTAAATTTTGAGTTAAAATTACTTTCCTCTCTCTTCTTAATTTTAAGCTTACAACTTCCGGCCAGAACGTAGTTTTAGAATCGCGGTTGAATGCAGATGAGAAGAAGTATTTAACTCAGAATTTCTACTGACTTCGTTAGAGAGAACCAGTGATTCTGATTAGTGTGAGTTCGCTTTTTTAGGCTACTCTTTCTTAAGCTATTAGTACACTCGGCCGTACTTTAGGCCCTTGATAGTTTTGCCATTATTTGGCGTTAAGGGGCCAACTCTGTTAGCATGTTGATAGCTTTGGCTATATCTTTTTAGTTAAGTTTAATTTCTTAGTTCCTGATTTCAAGCCTGAGTTGAGGCTTTATTGTAAAACTCCAAGAAGAAGTTCTGTGAAATTAGTTTGGAATAATAAAGGGTATTTAACCCTTCCCAAGTTTAATTTTCTGTCTCACGAACTGAAGCGGTTATTCGCTTACCAGTTCTTAAGATTCTACAACTTAAACTATAACCTAAAAATACACAGGTTAGAATCTTACATTTTATTAAAAAAATAACCCCCTCACCGCCCAAAAAAAGTTAATCCTGAGATATAAGATGAAACCTTACAATTGTTTAGGATACCTTTTTTTTTTTTTTTTTTTTTTTTTTTTTTTTTTTTACTGTACAGCTAGTAAAGGAGTTCAATCAAAATGGATCTTCCATTTTGAAAATAATTATGAATTAATTTCTGTTTAAACTAAACTGAGGCAGCATGCATTTGTAAATTGCATTCAAAAGATACAGGCAGCTTAAAAACAGCCCTTTTTATAAAAAAAAAAGTGAAACTTGAATGTAAAAATGTCATAAAATATTGCTGGAATAATACAGTAGATATTTACATTTATTTTTGTGTTACAATATGTGTAATTTATACATAAAATTTAGGTGTGTTCATATGAATGGTAGCGTTTTATTCAGTTTTGTCCATAGGAAAGATAAGGTAAACAAATTGATATAGTATAATATCTAGCAGACTGTAATATTTTGGACTGCTGTATCTGAAAGTACCAATATTCATTGGCTTTTATCGCTCAGCTGCTGGTGGGCAAAGTATAATAATTGCCGTATACATTTCATATGAAGGGAAATGAGCCCATCACACATTATATCATTTAAATATGAGATAATATTTCATTTGTTGTAGGTTACTGGTTTTAAGGTTATCTTCTGTTTTTATTTTAATGATCTCAAGTCCACTTTTAAATTCAAAAGCTGGCAACCTAATATCTCATGATACCAATTTCAGTAACGACTTGCATGATAATTTTTGTTTTTAAAGTAACATTAAAGATAATACAGTCAAAAGTCGTTAATTCGGACACCCATAATCCGGACCTCAAAGCTACAAATTTTCTGCGCATGCGCCGCGTTGACGCATGCGCGTAAGACCTTTACGGCTGCGAATTTGTGTGTGCGCGTGCGCAAAATACGTTTACGAATGCGCCTTTAATGTTATAACGGGACGGTATAAGCTAAGCTAAAATTATCTAATATCTATTCAGTTAACGTTTGCAGATTGCGTTGTTCCTTAATCTTCGAATTGGATCCAGCTTATTATTTTTTGCAGACTGTTAGAGCAATTTTATAAAAGTAAGCTTGAACTTTCAATTATGTCAAATAGAATTTCCGATATATATTTACTAATATGTAAAGGATCTACAAAGCGAAAGTATGTTTCGGAGTCCATTAAACAAAAAGTGGAATTGCTGCAAAAAATGGATAAAAGCATATCCTTTGTTTATCTAAACTTTAACATTTGTTTATCTTTAACGCAGCGACGCTCAATGAATTGGCAGTTGATCTGTCAGCACTATCCTTATCTTCAGGGCAGATGTTTTTATTTTATTTGGCTTATAATTGCTTACTAAATGTAGTATTTCATCTCGATGTACTCCATCTTTGATACGATTTAAATCAAATGCCTCGTCATTATAATTCATTTCCAATAGCGAAGAAAAAGTGACAGAGAGGTTATTGAAAACGAAAAAAATTTCGATTGACAAATTAGTCGGTATCTCGACACCAGCAATTATAGGACTTGAACAGCGGAAACTTTGTAACTGAACAAGAAATTATGTCTGTTTATAGAATTAAAGAGAAAGTATTATCAACATAAAAAAACGAAGCAACTTCTTAAACAACTTACATTGAAAGAAATGTTTAATAAAGTAAACAAATAAAATTAAGCTTTTTTTTTTTTTTTTTAATTGATTATACAGTACGGAAGTTGGGGGAGGGGGTCCTTCCCTTTCTCCGCAAAATCTCGAATATTGAAAGCGTTACAGTTCGTAGCAAAGCAAGCTACGGACTTTTTTGTGGAGGGTCACTTTTCAACCTGGATTGAATAGGACTAAAAGTTCTGTCTACCAACCCAAGCGAAGAACGATTGTATTCTGAAAATTTAACGCAGTCTGTTCAAAATTAGAATGAAAAACACCCCAGATTGGTAAATCTCTCTATTAATCAATATGAGTATGGCAGGGATATCGGGCGGAGCTACTCAGTTATAAATATGCCACATGGGCAAATGGCGGTGAAAAACCAAACAAAGCAAAGAGGCGTTTTCCTTTATTTAGTTATGTATTCTTCAAATACCGGTAGCTGTTGATTCTGATTGCATAACATCACGTGTGGAAGAATTAAGGCGCATGTATTGTGCAGTAACGTTTGTGATATTTTCGCAGAGATAAAAGAGTTTTACTGTGCTTTCTAAGCAGATTATTTTTCAGTTCCATGGGACTATTTATTATATGATGCACATATCGAAATGTCAAAAGTATTATTTAGCTAAAACAATCAAAGAATGGCTACAATCTAACCCTCTTCCTCTTTTATCAGTTACGCTCAACTATCCGGAAGTTCGGTAATTTCCGAGTATGGCGGTTAGTTAAGCCAAAGAATGTCTATACATATTCTTTGGTTAAGCTTTTACTGTTAAAGGATGACTGCATGAAGCAATTTCCCATCTTCTGATTTTAGAAAAGCTCCTTTTTTCATTTATTTTTACTTAAATTACTTTGCTTGCAATATCTGCTAAGGGAAAACTGTTATACAATGGAAATTTAGAAAATGTTCAGAATTTTGATTTAAGTTAAATTATTTAAATATTAATATGAGTGGAAAAATAAATTGTATTTATTTTTAAGTGCCAAGCAAACATAATGAATATGGCTTATTATTCTTTATTTTCTCTATTTGAACTGAAATTTCATCATTAAATCTTGTAATATAATTTAGTTCTGCATAGTTTTTTTCCCCTCTCATTGTAAACTAGTTCTGTAAATTGAACTGTTATTTAAAATTTTAAAAAAAAAATAATTTTTTACATGGTTGAGTAATGCTCATTCTCTCTTAATAAATACTGAATTGCTCATATTTTAAATTATAAGTCTAATTTTTCTTTTAAGGTTATGCAGTTGTGTATAATGTAATTAGACAGGTACTTATTTTTTTTCTTAAAATGTGCTTGAAAAATGCTTATCTGTGCTTATTTTTTTAACTAAAATGTGTCTATGAACCCTGTTTAAAATGTACCTAAGTTGGACATGGCATTTTGAGTGCAAATATTTATGCTATGACTGTATCAAGGTGATAACATTGCATGAACCTTTGTACTATATGCCATTTTGAACAAATTTTGATGATCAAATAACTACTTGGAACATCTTTCCTTCATCCTCTAAAGGCATTTCCTCCATTGCATTAAATGCATTTTGGAGTGTCATTTGTTGCCTGCTTGCCTATTTGTTTCTTGAAGCATCATTATTCAACTTAAACATTTTTCATTTGGAAAATTTGTTCATGATTGTAGACATTCGAGAACTGATTCCACTTTAGGTATAATAATTACTAATTTCGCTTTCATCTCTTTTAAAAGTACTTTGATAAATGAAAATTTACCTTCCCTAGCCAGGATTTTCACAATATAAAAACATAAGAAAATTACAAAATGAAATTAGTTAAAAATGTGAAACCAGAATAACATTATAGATAGTTCATTAACCTGAATTATATTTTGTAAAATGAGTTTAAGTGATTTTGGAGCTCTTTTGAAATGGCATCACCATGAAGCATGAAAACCTTTTGGAAACTTCCAGTTTTTGGATTCCTCCTGGTTTTTTATATTTCAAGGTTGGAATCTATAATACAATAATTATAAGGTCATGAGAAGTGCTTCCCTTCTTGTAGTAGGTACAAAAAATTTCCAACTGTCATTTATAGAATTGTGGTGTTACGTTCTTGAAATATGAAAATGGTCATATATACACAAATCACTGCTCGGAGAATAAACAAGTAAAAATTGATGCTATGGGCCATACATACTCCTTTCTTCTTTATTATCCAGAAACAATGCATAACATTTGGAAAAGATTGCCTTTCATCCATTTTCTTTAGAATATAAATGTACTGCATGAATTCTTGATACAGAATCAAAACACTTCTGCTTTGACATGCAGCGCCAGTCTGTTTTTCTTTTTACAATAAACATAAGCTTTCCTCATTGTGGACACATAGTGCCTTCTCTTGAGAAAAAGCTGAGTTAAACATTTAAATGAACAGTGAATCTATCTGTAGATTATATGAATGGAGATCTGCTCTGTACTAGTCGAAAACTAGAGTTCTGAATTTATTCCATATCCTTTTCATCTATGCTTGTTCAGCTGCTATCCTCTCTGTAAAGAGTACTCGTATTACCAATCTTCATAAACTTCTTGTGCTTCTTGTGAGGATCTGGATCGTGGAAATATGCCATAAATTTAATATCTAAATGAAAGATGTTAAATTTGCTTTTGCCAGTAAAGGTGTCTGTTTCTTCTACCATTCAGAATTTTTATTTTTCATAGATTTTGAGAAAAAAAGGTGTGTGTTTTCTGATTATGTCCAGTTTTACTTTTGTAACTGTAAATAATAGATACTAACTACAGCAATAATATTCTTGTGCATTATATATATTTGTATGAAAAAATATAAATCAAAATTATAATTTAAACTAATGGTAACCCTTTAACACTTTCAGTGTGGCAATTGCACGCGCGCCTTTGTCCCACCCTCTGTGTTAAGAATCTGTGCCGCTCTCCGCAGCGCTAAAATCAAGACAAATCACAAATTCTTTTAAAACTTGTTTATTTTATTATTTAAAAATAATAATTAATTACAACTTACTAGTATGGATTTACACTGTTGTTTTATTTTATTCTGCTGTTCATGAATTTTAGTAATAATAATATGTTTTGTTGGATATGATTTAAATTCTGTAGGAAAAGTTACCATTTCAGGTTTATTATATATATATATATATATATGTATATATTTTATAGAATTTATTTTAAATTTGAATATTTTCATTTTCAGTGTAGTTATGACTTATAGTGGGAAACCATGGGTCAGCGATCCAAATCATCCCCATTACATGGCAGGTCGAAAAGCAGTGAAAACAGGTAAAATTTATGTTTGGGAATCTTTAACACAGTACAAAGTCCAAAATCTGGACTCGTTAGAACTTCGGCGATTCTGGATTTATGATTTTTCCGGATAGTAGATCATCAATTTAAATCTGGTGAGATGGTATGCAGAAATTATACGATTAAAAATATGAAATCGTAATTTATGAAATAAATATCAATAATGATCTAAAGGGTATCAAAATTTACAAAAACAAAAGCTTAATATGTATTTCTTTGCCTTATTAAACATTTCTTTCAATGTAAGTTGTTTAAGTTGCTTCCATAAAAAATTCTAAAAGTTCCTTTTTCTTGTGTCATATACAGTTGACTTTCCAATGCCATATTCTTGCATAATTTTGAGATGAATATGCCTTTATCCATTTTTTTGCAGCAATTCCACTTTTTGTTTAATGGACATTGAAACATGGTTTCACTTTGTAGATCCTTTGGCAGCTCCACAACTGGAAACTCTTTTTGATATAATCGAAAGCTCAAGCTTAATTTTTATAAAATTTCTGTAATAATAACAGTCTGCAAAAAATAATAAGCTGGATCAAGTTAGAAGATTAAGGAGCAGCACAGTCTGCTACATTAACTGAAATGCCGTAGAATCAATTAAGATAATTTTAGCCTAACTTAATAGCGTCTGTTATACATTATTGGCTGTGTATCACAAGATTGGCGATGAAAGCCAAGTTGTTCCGCTAAATTTTGTCTTGCTCCTATTACGTACTGAAATGTATTAAGTTATTTACTATACCTATGTTTATTTCTTGCACATGCTTAAAACTAATCTGTATCCTGAATAAATAAACTCTCACATATACTTAAGGCTTTATTTAGGGCTGGCGCTAGATATCACCTGGTGCAGTCTCTTAATTCTGCTACAGTGCACCTTCCTAAGTTCTAAATTTTCACCGCGCCTAAACTTTGTATTCCAGTGCTTTCCCCTCCCCAAATTATAAAAAACTTCTCATCCCTTAATTTTGCCGCTCGGTGCTTCCCCAAATTCCAAAAATTGTTTGTTCCCTAAATTCTGCTGCCTCTTTTGGGTTTATGGTTACATATCAGTTATTCTTAACCCTTTCAGGACGGGCGTCCCATATATGCATTCTCTAAGAACGTCTCTTACAGCTGGGTGTCCCATCCATGCATCAGTAAAGATCGCATTCAGAGGACGGGTGATGCGTATACGCATTTTAAGGTGGAACGTTTTTCTGAAAGCCACTAGATGGCATCCTGTGTCCATTACTTTTGAAATGAACACAGTTTTAGGTTCCTGACCTTGAGTTTGATATATTCTACTTGACTTTGGTATTTTACTCATCAGCTGTTCGAGGGAGGGGGCGGAGGGAAAGCATAAACAGAGGTGGGCTCTTTAAATCGCTGCGTGCTAATGAAAACAATCTCGTATCTGATTTATATCCAATTCCTTTTTTTATTCTATTTTTTCCCTCTACTATGTTCGGTTTTTTAGGGTTACTGTGCGGAGTTTTTTTACTTTTTGCATTGCCTTCAGATATATTTCCGTTCCTTCTTTTTTTATTTAGGAAAGCCTCACCTCCAGTCTATTATGGTGGGAAGGCGCTATTTATCAGAGGAAGAATACCCTAATATGGTTAGTGAACCATTTAACTAACGCAAATGAGAGTACTGATTCATTTTCTATAATAAATAAATAATAAGTTAAATTCTATAATAAGTTAAATAGTGATACTTTTTCTAAGAGTTACAAAGTGATACTTCTCTGTGCTTCGAGATTTACCACACTCGTTTTCATTTTAAATTTTGTTACTTCTTACTGTAAATAGACTTTATTGTGTTCTTTTTATTAATTTTAACTTTATTGATGGATTTTATCAATTAAAACTTTATTTATAATTTGGACAGCGCTTCCGAAAATTATTTTAGAAGATAAGCAATTTTGGAATGACGCGGACTGCAATGAATTGGAAGTTGATCTGTCAACACTGTCCTTATCTTCAGGGCAGATGTTTTTATTTTATTTGGCTTATAATTCCTTACTAAATGTAGTATTTCATCTCGATGTACTCCGTCTTTGATATGATTTAAGTCAAGTTCTTCGTTACATTGAAAGAAATGTTTAATAAAGTAAACAAATAAATATTAAGCTTTTTCTTTTTGTAAATTTTGATATCCTTTAGATCATAATTGTTCTTTATTCATAATAAATTATGGTTTTTCATATTTTTAATTTTTTAATTTTGCATGCCATCTTATCAGATTTAAACTGATGATCTATAATCCGGAAAAATCGATAATCCGGAATCGCCGAAGTCCCGGCGAGTCCGGATTAATGACTTTTGACTGTATCTATTCTTCATTTTTGCATCACTGAGTGCTATAAGTGTCCCACAGTTTTATATAAATCACATTTTCAAATGATAGATGAAAGCTGCTAAGCGGAAAAACCTGTTGTTAGTTAGGCAAGGGAATGGAAAACACGGGACTGTGTATTAGCATCTGGAGTATATGTAGTATTGAAATCCTTTGTTTTAGTTCTGAATAACAGTTGATATTAATGATGTAAGTAATGTAGTACAGATTCCAAGATGAGGATGTTGCTAAATTAAAGCAGGAATTAAAAGGGCTGTTGCCAATTATGTTAGTAATTTTTGAGTAATTTACTTTCATATTGTATATATACAGGGTGTCTAAGACAAAATACTCTAATTTGAAACTTTTATATTGAACATAATAAATAGCCCAGACATTTTTGTTAGGGATGAGATGGAAGGCTATATGTGGAAATTTATATTTATAATGTTCTGTCAAGTTCATTTTTATTTCATTTTTATAAAATTTGCTAAAATTCGGAAAAATTTGAAAATTTAGGGTGGGGAAGAAAAATGGGAACGAATGTTGAAAAAACACGAATCATGTGGTGGTGTGCAGAATTAGGGTCCGTTATTGCAGTTCAGTGATGTTTCTGTGTAGAGTACTACAGAAACCCTCCCAATGCCAAGAGAATTAAAAAAAAAAATGTAAGCAGCATTTCTAGAAACAGGATCTGTTGCTCGGAGTTATCCTCAAACAAAACAATCAAAGCATCAGAGGAGACTGTTAATCGCATTTCAGGTACGTTTCCTAGAAGTTGTAAGAAATCCGTTCGCACAGTGTCACTTGAGTTTATTAACTGTGTACGATGTGCTACATAAGTGCCTAAAACTTCAATCATACAACGTACCCTTGTTACATGAGGTTTTTTGGCCTCGTGTAACAAGTGTGAAACCTGATGATAAATTCAAACAAGCAACATTCGCCAAAGACATTCTTCAGTGCTAAAGAATACCTGGAGAGAAATCACGTATCGGTAAGACATCCTCCATGTCACTCATGGGGTTTGTGTAGAAATAGTGTGATTGAACAAATAAATAAAACTTCAAAACTGTGTCTTCATTGTTGTATGAATCTTCTTTATGTATTGAATACATGTTGTATTGCAGACATTTCAAATTAGGGTGTTTGGTCTCGGATACCCTGTGTACACGCACGCACAGCTAGTCTCTTAGATTCTTAAAAATGAAAGTGCACTGTATAATATTTTACAATTAAATTACATTTATTCTGTATATGCTTTGTATTTTTACAATTATAGTATATGGAGTAGAGCCAGATCTAATAAGAGAAGGCGGAAGTATTCCTGTAACATTAACATTTCAAGAAGCAACTGGCAAGAATGTTATACTTTTAGGCATTGGTTGTAGTGATGATGGTGCACATTCCCAGAATGAAAAGATTGACATTTTTAATTATATTTATGGAGTAAGTATGCTTTAATTTTATATTTATTATTTACTGTTTTTTAATTAGAGCCCTTATTATATTTCTTATCCACTATTTTTGAACTACAGTTAACCTTCCAGCATGCATGCATGGCAATTTTACATGAGCATGCGTGCATCATGTTTTTTATGACATCTGTTATTTTGCCATTTTTGGCATGAAAAATGACAGAAATGAGTGAATATTGATAATAAATTTGTTAAAAAACAAAATATTAAACTTATTATTGCAAAATACAAATGATTTCGCATTCAAATATAAGTAAATTATTTTTAAGTTCTTATGTTAGTGAGATGGAAATGCAATGATGTATTTCATTATAGAAAATTTTAAATTTATTATTTAATAATTATATTTTAAAATCGAAACTAATTTTAATATTCATCAAAGACTAGTGTAGAAAATAAAAAAGGAAAACACCTTGGTAGGAAAAAAAGTAAGTTTAGCATTACTTACTTCTGCAAGGAAATTTCCTTCTTACTGGTTACAAAAATGCACTTTAAACTAACTTTAATGTTTTTATTTATTTCTAAAAAATAGAAATAAAAGAAAATAAGGATGGAAATCGCTATTGTTCTCCTATCCAAAGGTTTCCTTTTCTTCTACAGATGATTCTTGAAGAATCCAAGCAAAATCAGCTGGTTGCACATATTTTTTTGCCATGAAAACCGATATAAAATTTACAGAGCCAAATGTATTCAAATTAAAATAATACACTGCAATTAATAACACAAAATTACAAAATATTTGAGAAGAAAAATATTTTCCGAATTTTAAGACACGACCATGCTCATGTCGTAACTTTTATGAAAAAGCTGCCGCGTAGCACAAAAGCCCAGTTAAAAAAAAAAGTCAAATGACTTCCTGTTAACTCATTCCATGATGTGGAGAAGGGTAGAAAGGAGGAATAGAACCTTCAGAAGTCTCAGCTTTGATATGCGAAAAATGTGCATTAAAAACTGGATTTGCCGTAAATTCTCGCATACACGCATGCTGGAAGGTTAAAAGGTTTTATGCTAATAGATGTAAATAGCCAAATAATCTGTTAAGAAATAGAAATTGAAATATACAACAAGATAAGAAATTACTGGTATATTGTATAAAATTATAATATTGTTGCATCAAAACAGGTTCGTAATACATTGAATGCTCACAGGTCGATTGATAGATTAATAACATTCATTTTATCAAAAGAAACATTTCAGAGTTCTGGATCTTTTCACAGAAATACTGGTACAGCTTTTCACAGTATCACAGAGCACAATCAGTAGTTACACTTGAAACTACTACAGTACAGAAGTCTTTAATTCGGATGTCTATAATCCAGAATGATCTATAATTCGGACCTCAAAGCTACAAATTTTTTGCGCATGCACATATGCATTTACGCATGTGTATAATACGTTTATGCATATGCATTTAATGTATAACGGATGGTATAAGCTAGGTTAAAATTATCTAGTTATCTATTTCAGTTAATGTTATAGATTGCGTTACTCCTTAATCTTCTGATTGGATCCGGCTTACTATTTTTTGCAGACTGTTAGAGCAATTTTATAAAAAGTAAGCTTGAACTTTCGATTATGTCAAAAAGAGTTTCCAATTCTGGAGCTGCCAAAGGATCTACAAAGCGAAAACATGTTTCAATGTCCATCAAACAAAAAGTGGAATTGCTGGAAAAAATGGATAAAGGCATGAAAGTGACAGAGAGGTTAGTGAAAACGAAAAAAATTTTGATTTACAAGTTAGTCAGTATTCTTGGCACAGCAATTACAGGACTTGAACAGCGCAACTTTGTAACTGAACAAGAAATTATGTCTATTAAAGAGAAGGTATTAGCACATAAAACGAAGCAACTTAAACAAGTTACATTGAAAGGAATGTTTAATAAAGTAAAGAAATAAATATTAAGCTGCTGTCCCCCCCCTTTTTTTTTTTTTCCTTTAAAATTTTTTAAAATTTTTATACCCTTTAGATCGTAATTGTTCTTCATTTTATAAATTACGGTTTCATATTTTTAATTTTATAATTTCTGGAAAAACCCCTAATCTGGAATAGGCGAAGTCCCGATGAGTCCAGATTAAAGACTTTGTACTGTATGAACTTTAAACACGAATGCAAAACGCATCTAAAAGCTGAAACTCTCCAAAGTCACTCTGAGCTAACAACTACAACAACTGAAAGCAGATGCTCTCTCCGGTTTTCACCTGACCGCTGAGATATTTCTAGTACTTTCTGCTATTCCATCAGCATTTCCATGTGATGATTTTCTCCCATGACGGATAGTGATGTCGTATTCCTGGTGTTTCTGTATCCACTTGGCTGTTTGACCTTCAGGATTCTTGAAATTTAAGAGCCAGGTCAGCGATGCAGGATCTGTGTAGAGCAGGAATTTTCGGCTGTGGAGAGAATAATGGAAAAATTTTACGGCTTTGACTATGGTGAGCAACTCTTTCCTAATGACACTGTAATTCCTCTCCGGTTTAGACAGGCACTTGCTCCAGTAAGCCGCAACACATTCTTGGCCGTTTATATTTTGGGATATAACAGCACCGACACCTTCATTGCTCGCATCCGTGTCGAGAATAAATGGTCTGTTGCGCTGAGGATGTCAGGATTGGAGCAGATGTTGAAGCTTCCTTTAAGTTGTTAAATGCATCCTCACATTCTTTTGTCCACAAGAACTTTTCCTTGCTCTCTGCCAGCTTACGAAGATGTCTTGCAATGGAAGAAAAGTCTTTCACAAATCTCCTGTAGTATGTGCAAAGCCCCAGGAAACTTCTCAGTTGATGGACATTTTCGGGGCATCTCCAGTCTTTAACTGCTGTGACACCTTTTCTAGATCCATACACATACCCTTGGCAGAGATGACATGTCCTAGGTAAGTCACTTCTTGTCTGAATAGTTTACATTTAGCTGGGCTCAACTTTAGATTGACTTCTTTCAGTTTCTGCAGCATCTTTCTATGGTTTTCAAGATGTTGTTAAAAACTCTTCCTGACGATGATGATGTCATTCAGGTATATCAGACAGGCTTAAAAGTAGGAAAATCATCTCGACACAGTATTCATGAGGTGTTCGAATGTTGATGGTGCCTTTCGTAATCCAAATGGCATCACCTTCAACCGCGAGAATCTTGTTTGGTATTATGCGCTATCTTTTCTTGTTCGTCAGAGTGTATCTCTACATGGAAATATTCATTCTTTAAATCAAGTGTCAAAAACCACTTGCTTCCAGAAAGAGTATCCAGATAGTTGAACTAACTTTCTTTTTGACCAAGACAATGTCAGAGACCCAAGGACTTGCTGAAGGCTCGATAACATCACGTTCTTACATGTTCTTTTCTCGGCTTTCCATGCTACATTACACAGAAAAATACAATTTCATATATAATTTTACTAAAATTATCTATCTATATGCAAAATTCATAACAATATGTAACATTTATAATCATGTTATTAATTTTTTTTTAAACTGCTGTGCATGGACGTGTGCAGTTTTTGAATTATATTTGGAAACTTGCATTCAGTGATCCTATGAGCTACTCAAAATTAAATGTTAATTTTTAGATATTTCTGTTGATAAAAAGGAGTATTTTTATATTGTATACACTGAAGTTCCAAAATGTGGTATGATTTGAGAATTACCTACTTTAAGTAACAATGCTTTTTTAATTCCATAACAGAGTAATGTGTTTCAGTGATGGCTGAGTCTAAAGCTGAAAAACAGTACTAACTTGTTCTAAGTTCTATTTCTGATTGTGAAATAGTCTGCGGCATGAGCCAGTAATGGAATGGTTAAAGCTACAGGATACTGGTATGTTGACTGTGTCTGGTTGTATGGAATTTTCATGGTTTTTGCTGTATGTAATATGTGTGCAAACCAATCAGTCCTCCTTAGAAAGTTCTCCATGAAGACATCTATTGTATCATCAGCCAATGCAAGTGCAAGATTTTGTCTATTTGGATCTTTGAGCTCTGTATACTGTTCCTGAAATGGATGGCATTTATTAAATTGAAGGTAAAACATATACTAAAGCTATCTCATAAGGAGTTAGATGCCTTCAGAGAGAACTGTCTAAAGGAAATCTGCTCATATTCATGTTACAAATGGGAAAAACTATAAAAATGTTCATGCAGCCATTTCTCTGGTTGAACTACTCATTTCAGTCTTATCCACACAGCCACAGGTGGGCCATTACTAAAATGAGTATGGTCAATGTACAATGATTGTTTAATCACATGGTGTCATATTCCTGCGGTTTATAATTTTTTATTTCATGTATAAATATTTTTCATATAATATGTTAGAAATATTAAAAAAATTTAGATTACTTGGTATTTTATCAAATAATGCAAAAGTATCAAAACAAATATTATTTTCTCCGCAAATTTAAACATACTATATTCTGTTTCTTTTTTTAGATCAAATTATTGGCTGCTTATATACATGAAGTCTCACAGTTGTAGAAGTCAAGCATCTACTTGGAAAAATTTTGTACTAGATACATAATTGAAATATTTTTAAAATAAAATTGGAAACTGACAGATCATGGATAATAAATGTTAATTATTTTGATATTGTATTAAATTTAATCCTTTAATTTTTCATACGAGATGATATCTACATGCATACAGGGTGGACACATAAAAAAAAAAATTTTTTTTCACATATAAACCCCTAGTAATCTATCAGTTCTACTAATTGTAATTAAAATTTAAAATGTTCTTATTTGAAGATATGCGCTCCAGATTGTGATAATTTAAAAAGATAGAGCTCTCATGGTTATGGTTACAATAAAAAATTCTGAATGGCAACACTCACTTTTTTCCTGTGCAAATTGATCATCTATTGAAAAACCTTTAATTGCATTGAAAGGATACACAGATGACAAAAGCTTCTAGCTTAAAATATTTGCAAAGGAGAGCATTGTAAAGGATCACTGGTAACACAAAAGAAGAAAGGAAATCATCTGCAACAAGCAGAAGTGATCATTTCTGTCCTGCCAAAAGAAGTAGTGCATCTCCAGAATATCGCCATCAACCATTTGCTGTAAGAAATTTTGAAGTAAAAGGCAGGTGTATTGACAGTTGCACTGATAAGATCATCAAGTTCAATAAAAAACCAGCTCAAGTAAGAATTTTAAAGAATGCTCAAGTAAGCTTTCTTTAAAAGTATTACATCCTCAATACTTATTTTATTATTGTGTTAACATCATCTGATTTAGTATCGTGAAAACCATGGCAGATTATATATATATATATATATACAATGAGTATGTAGGGGGAACTGGCAGAAGATAATCTCTCTTTTTTTTTCCCTCCTCCTTTTCACTGTTGAAAGTTTGATTGGGACATTTGCTGCTTGCATATTTTTGCAAGCAAAAATTCTTGTGCCAGTCAGCGCAATTAAGCACAAATAATGAATAAATGTGATGTTACAACACACATGTAAAATCTTTTGTTTGATTTTATGTAAGCCCCAATTAATTCTCGATAAGCTAGTTTTGTTTTTCTATCATAGGATGTAGATTAATAGCCATTTTCCTGTTTTTCTCGTGCATTTTGGAAAAATTATTAAAATTTGAGATCTGCCTTCAGAATGGCAAGCAATGGGGTATTTTCATCATGCCATCCTGTTCAAGTCATTCAATGACTTGAATAGGATGAGATTTTGCAAAATGATGCAGTACTTAACAGCGCAGTACAACTTAGATTCATACCGAAGCGAATTTATGTGGATTTCAAATAATCAAAAAGCTTTATTTATGTTCTTTTATTATACTGCATCAATAATTTGCACATGTAAATTATATAACTGAATAAATTACCTGTTATTATCTAACTAAATGAAACTGTCCTTTGAAAATTTCCCCAAAATTATTGGCTGAAGTTTGGTGGAATCTCCACAAAATATCAGGTGACGGGGAAATACATTAAGTCATGGACATTTTACTTCATGCTTTTTTGACATTGAGAGGAATGGGGCCATTTAAGTACTGTTTTCTTGATGTGTATTATCACCTTTCTTATTTATGTTAAAACAGTTTGTTGGCACCATGCATAAATTTCCTTGTTTAAAATGTCCATTATTTCTCATAGAGACCACAAATAATTTTTCATTTATTAATTTGTAAATCAAGCAAGAAAGGTACATAAATACATGGTTCATGTATGTAATACATGGCACTAGAAATCTCTTATGTTAATAACACAGGGTTGCCACGCTACCTGGAGAACCGGGAAAAGTCAGGGAATTCGAAAATTGACCAAAAAATTCAGGGAAAAGTCAGGGAATTTAAGTATTTTTGTCAAAAATCTGGAAAAGTCAGGGAAGTTCATACAATGATCCCGCCAAAGAAAGCGATTTTTGCGCCGACGTCGGAAGAGATAACTTTTTTGGCGAATTGCCTATCACGTGAGTGTCTGCTGGCATAGAGCCAATTTTCGCAGCTCCAAATTGATTGCCTTTTAGAAAAGCAAAGCAAGTTTCCCGCAACTTTTGGTTTCCAGTATTTTCGAGAATCGCATGTGCAATGCATGAACTAAAGAAAGTACCTGTTCTCGTATAAAACAAAATGGGTTTAATCCTAGTATACGGTACCATAGAGGTTAGAATCAAAGAATATGTATTGTAAAGAAGGAAAACCTCTCTGCAACAGACGTGGCTCCGTCCCATCATAGAGGGAAACATCTGTGCATGCGTGATATGTCTGCCGCCAAAGCTGGAAACCGGTGTCGAAGTTCGAAGGTCACGTTATCAAGAGTTCATTAAATGAATATCCTTTAAAATTTCTCTAACCACACGCTAAAAAGACGTGCCACGCACGTCGAGATGTTTTTGTCTCAAACTGCGAGCGACGTGAACCCCACGTCGATAAGCATTTATCGCAAAAATGAAAATAACATGGTGCACACGTCGCCTAACAACGAGATTGTTTATTTCTCGAGTTACAGCTCTGGATTGCACTCGCAGATGCGGAGCGGCGTAAATGAGACACTTTACCACTTGCTATATTGTAGCGCACGGCACCGCAACCGTGAAGTTTAGTCTTAGCGCAAGTAGTTAAACTCTAAATTAAAAGAAAATATTTTTTGGCGCAAGTAAATTAGTTCATAGGTTAGTAATTTTCAGGGGGGGGGGAAACTACGAAAATCCGTTTTTAAAATTATTGCGAAAAATCCAAGAAGAAACGTCCTTTGATAAAATGTTTCTTCTTGGATTTTTCGCAATAATTTAAAAACGGATTTTCGTAGCTTTCTTTTGTCAAAGAACGTTTCTTCTTAACACGTTTCTCAATTTCCGGTACACATCGCGGAGAGGGAAATTCTGGCCGCCAGGTTCCGTCGCCAAATCCCTTGGCAAATTTTCCCTCCGCATTCTAGCGGCGTAATAGCATTTTACTTGTATGGAAAATTTTCTTCTTTACATAGACCAAAGAATCAGAGATTCTTTGCATAGACGTTTTTTGGTTAAAATAATCTCCATGTATGGATTTGGTGACATGATGATGCGCAGTAAACGGGTCATTTTGGTCTTGGCGACAATTTTCAAAATCGTGCCAAAGCCTTACCGTATACTAGAATTTTACCGCAAAATCTTTTTAAACTTTTCTTTTTAATAAATACCTTGCCATTTTGCAGTAAAATAAAAATAGTAATCTGTCATCTAGGCTAACCATGTAATATAACTATATTCGCTAAAATATCGTTGATTATTCTAATTCAATTTTTAAGTAATTATCTTTATTTTTATGTTATTCGTATAATTTAATGATGCTTCTTCCCTCTAAATTTATTAATTATTAGTAAATAATATTTCTAAATTTCAGGAAATTTTCTCTGGCATAATCTTGAAATTAATTCTAGCAGTATGATGACATACCATCACGAAATTTAATGCACATATTTTTTTCTTATGTATGCTGCGAACTAAATATAAAATACCTCAGTTTATTAAACTAGATTTCTTTGTTTCGTTTAGCAGCAGAATGTCTGCAAAAAAAGCCTTATTTTATTCCAGATTGGGAAGATTCTAATCTCAATCTTCAATGGAGAAAACAACAACTATTATATTTGTGTTTTCAAGTGTTAAGGTGCTTTTTAAGAACATACCTCACACAAATTAAATTTACCTAAAATCTAACCTAACTATTTAGCATTGCGTTGTGATTTATAAAGACCGGATTAGCTCGTGTTGAACTGGTGATGATCATGAGTAATAATTAAATAAAACATACATTTGTTATCCAATGTATATATCTTAAATTTTATTAAGTTTCTTCAGTGGAAAAGTAATTAAAATTATCAAACAAAGTATACCAAGAATAATTAAGAATAAATGTCCTCTGTGATTTATTGAATAATTAAGTGAATTTGCTACACAATACAAGTAATACCATAATTTACCTCTTAGCGTAGCCAATGTACATTACGCGGATAGACTGGAATTTTCTTGAAATGCACCTGGAAAACCTGGAAAAGTCAGGGAATTTCATTCTCCTGTGGCAACCCTGATAACATATTTTAATCTATTTTAAGTTGTATCAGTGAGATACATAATTAAAAATAATACACAGATTTAGATTTTAAGGAGTGAATTCATTTCTTTTAAAACAGACATTCAGCAATTACAGATTCTTTAAATTTGAAAGATACCTTGAAAATAAACTAAATCCCTTATGTGTAGTACAGTGGTCAAATTTCCAAGGCAAGTGGCACATATTGTATGTAGAAGCATAACGTAATGAGATAAAAATTGTTGAAGGATTCAACTAAGGCCATTTAATGTAAAAACTGTGGAATGACTCCCCTAAGAACAAGTTTAATATCAAAATTAACTTGAAGTGCATCAGTGCCTTTTGTTTTCACCATGGGTCGATCCTTAAATTTGAAAGATGTATAAATAAACTAAATGCCATATTATGTAGTGCAGTTGCCACATTTCGAAGGCAGGTGGACGTTTTGTCTGTGATAGCGTAATTTAAGGAGACCAAAATTGTGAAAAGACTCAACTAAGGACAAGTCTAATGTCCAAACTAAATTGAAATGTATGTGCCTTTTGTTATTTTCGCCACCCATGTGTCGGCAGTATGTGGCAGGGAAGTAAATTTAGATATTTAACCCTTTCCAGCATGCTACCTTTTAAAGTTGAAATTTCGGGGGGGGGAATGGTAAGCAGTCTGATAAGGCCTAGAGAAGTGCACAGGTAAAGTTTTGTAAAGATAGCACTTACTGTTTTAATTCTGTGGGTGTGCCCGGAGCGGGCTCACTGACTGAATAGAGTTTCTAAAAGAGTGCTGAAGCGAGCATTGCTGAGAAGCACGTAATAAGAGTAAAAGATTTTGCCTACGACAAAAAACACTAGAATTTGAATACCATAGCAGATTTAACATTATCCAGGTTGTGCCACGGGGAGGCCTGCTACTCTACCCTCCAAAAAACTCTTCTTAGTAATATGATGATTACATGCATATAAGTGAAAAAAAGTAACTTTGGTATATAATATTTGCATTATTTACATTTCAATCTTACACTTTCATCAATTTTTTTTTTTTTTTTTTTTTTTTTTTTTTTTTTTT